GAACTGAAGACGGGGCAGGAACACCTTGACAATGGCATCCTTCCTGCCTGGGCCATGCAATGCCTTGCCATCGTAACATGAGTTGTCACATCTTTCTGCCTTGTGTGGGATCTGCAACATCTTGTGGGGATGTGCTCAGAGTGAGCTCTGCAGTGGCTCCTGCTCCATTACAAACGCTTGCTGGACATGGTGGGGACCAGCACAGGTCCTTCTCCATCTGCTTGGTCTGGGCAGTGCGTTCCTTACAGCAGTGGACAACAGACTGGCCCTATATGGCTTGCCTAAGAGAGGCAGGTACCCCGGAGATGTCTTCACTGCCGTGTTTAGATTAAGCATGAGGAGCAATGCCACCAGGATGCAGTGGGGAGAGATGTGGTGAGGGACCTCCCTGCAGCCAGGGCACAGTGTGCTTGGGGACGGGGTTGGGGATCTGCCTGGGGAGGACTTTGTCTCATGCCCGCCGGGACCGGTCACTGGTGTTTTTGCTGGGAGTGCAGGGTCAGTGCCGCGGGGTGTGGGAATAGCTGGCCAGGAAGCTCTTGGGTGTGTGTCTTTCCTGAGAGAGCCTCCCCGAACTGAGTTATCCTGTGCGGTGCTGTGCTGTCTGCTCTGTGCTCCCTCCTCCCGTGCCATGGGTGCAGCCGTGGGCTCCCTGCCTGGCCTAGCTGTCCCCTTTGGGCAGGGGACTGGATCCTTCTTGGAAGGCCAGTGCTTGGTTTGCTTTTGGGTTTGGCTTCAGTATCTGCCAAAAGCCAAGCTGCAAGATGGGTGAAACTGGGTAATTTTTGCACCCAACAGAGAGAACAAACTGAGTTTGGTTGTAACTTAGAGTGGCTCCAGCTTGAAACACAGCAATCTGCTAGGGAGACCCTAAACGTGCTTTATCTCCAGGGCAAGAAACTTGTTTATAAAGTGAAGGATCTCCCCAAGGTGTCCTCTGGGGACCTCTCTATAGAGCAGAACATCTTGTTGCAGCAAAAGGTGGTGGCAGGTAGGACATTTGTAGGCAAGATGGGGTGAAGAGCCCCAGCTCTGCCCTGGGATCTTGGTTTTTGAACTATGAAGCCACTGTCTGTCGCCTTCCCTGGTAGGCAGCATAAAAACTGTTTTACTGTGAGAACCCAGTGATGGTCTGGTCCTTCACCTTAATTTTATTTTGGTTTCCTTTTTTTCTTACAGTTGGCATAAATAATAGTGTGAGACCAGCCTTGGTACTGCAGCAGGGATCTGGGCATGCATTGCCACGGTGTGAAAAACACTTGTTGGACAAAGAGAATGTGTGTCCAGGTGCTGGTGGTGCGTGGTTGCTCTCTGAAGGACTGCTCTGCACCAAGAGCTGCCCTGCGTCGGTGGCTTTGTGTGTCAGATGTGTGCTTTGCACCTGAATTATTTCAAATCTAGCAAAGATTGTGCTGTGTAGGAGCAGGTGACGTCTCAGTACCTGAGTGTCTGATCGTCTGGGTGGTGAGCAGCTCCCTCCATGACATGGGAGGTGAGTGAAGCATGGAAATACCAGGCCTTTGACCAAACTGGGGGAGGCCTGGGGTACCCTCCTGCGCTGGGGGAGCAGCTGCGTGCACCATGGCTGCCGCAGAGAGCCCCGCGTGGCTCGTAAAGTCCATCACTTGAATGGGGAAATGTCAGAGATGCAGTTTCCTGGGCAACCTTAATTCAGCCCCACGTGCAAGGGCATTAGGATACAATCAGTAATTGTGTGATCCCCGCTGTTTGCCCTCTAAGAGCCCTGCCCTATTCCCTCCACTGGCTGGAGCCTCCAACCCAAAGGTACTGTCCTCACTTGCTTGATTGTGCATCCCAAGATTCCAATGCTCCTGGAGACAGTTAGGAGTTGCCTTTCCACCTTTTGTGTGGCTTTGCTCTTCACTGTAATATCTGACCATTTAAAAAAGGAATGGGTTTATGTTCTCAGCACCCTATGGTGGAGACATTCGGCTCCTACCAGGAGGCATCCTTGAGATAGTGGAGGACTAAAGCCAGTGTGGCAAAACCTCACCAAACCTAGGGAGCTCAGAGATTCAAGCCACTGATCAAGCTGTTTGCTGTGGGTCTGAGCTGAGCCCAGCCAACCATGTTTTGCTTTCGTAGAGTCTGTCTAATTGCTGCTGAGCACCTCTGCACTCCCTGCAAGCAAAATACCCAGTTTTAGGGGTCTCAACAGAGACCTGATAAGATTTTTCCACCATCCTCTGCTTTCTAGATCTGCAGCTGGAGGCATCTGAGTGGGGGCCACTCTGTGAGCTTGCTGGGGCTTGTGTGTGCCTCGTTAGGAAGCCAGGAAGTATGGAGGGGGCTTTCCTCTGGTTGGGAAGCACAAGTGCCGCACGCGGAGAAACCTCTCAGCTCCTGAGCTGCTGTGCTGGTGCCCTGTCTTGTCTGAAGCTGCTCTGTGATTATGGGGTGGGAGAGGGAGGGTCCAGGACTGGTGCCAACATCAAGCTGGGTCTTCGTCTCTTTAGCAAAATGCACCTGGGAACTGGGGTTTGTGGCAGGTTTGAGTGCAGGCAGGTTGGGCTCAGGTCAGGAGAAACGAGCTGGCAACCCCTTTCTGAGCCCAGGAGGGTCAGCAAACCGCGTTCCACAACCCCGCGGCATGTGTGGGGCCGTGAGAGCTCTCTGCAAAGGTTATAGCATCGGGCATGGCACTGCCCATCCGCCCGCCTCACCAGCGCTCACATGTCGAGCCTGTGCATTTGTGCGTGTCAGGACCGCTGCCTGCATGCTCATGCCTCCCTTGGCACTAGCGCATGTGCGAATGAGCTGTTGTTGCCGGCGCAGGGCTGTGCTCTGCAGATCTCGTTGTGGCAGAGCTGAAAGCCTCTTTGCAGCTTTCCATGAGATCTCCCAGCTCTTTGGAGTGTTGGGCACTGATCTGCCTCAATACCTTGCAGGCACTGAGGGTGAAGCACCCGCCTGCTGCAGGCTGAACCCCTCTTTGCCTTGGAGAGGAAAAGGATGTTTAGAAAACAGAGGGGCTTCCTGCGGGGAATTTGCTGTCACTCATCTCCTTGCCCCGCAGGTGTTATGTCAGGTTCCAGCGACCCAGCAGCTGCAAAAGTCACCGGTGACTTTCCCTGGAGGGTTTCACCCCAGCGGTGGCAAGCAAAGGGCTGCGGGCCCCTGGGCTCATTATTGCCCTTTGGTGTCTTCGGTGCCCCAGCGAGGTCTGAGCAATGCCATGTCTCCCTGGGATGATGTATGTGAGAGCAGGTTTCCTGTCTTCTGCTGCAAAGCCAGGAGCTGGCTGTTCCTGCAGCCCTGTCCTGGCTCATGGGCACTGGCGG